CCCCCCCCCCCCCCCCCCCCCTCTGTTCGGGTTCGGGACCAGGCGGGGCACTTACTGATCCTGGAACCTTGAGAACCCAAGCCCTAAGCCCTAATCCCGTAAACCCTGAACCTTAACCTTCAACCTCTCAGCCCCTCAACCCCTCAACCCTATAACCGTAAACCCCTAAACGCCTAAACGCCGAAACCTCAGGTAAGACTCATTGTTCGAACCTTTCTTCGAGCCTCCAGGCTCGCCGCCGTGCACGAACTCTCTCACGCCGGCGCCGGCGTCGAGAGAAGGCTCGGATCTACGAAGCCAGCGCGCTAGGGCTTAGGGGGTTTAGGGGTTTAGGGCAATTAGGGCACCAGGGTTTAGGGCATTAGGGTTTAGGGGTTTAGGGCAATTAGGGCATTAGGGTTTAGGGCATTAGTGTTTAGGGGTTTTGGGGTTTAGGTCATTAGGGCATCAGGGTTTAGGGCCTTTAGGTGGCTTGAGGTTGCTTGTAGGGTGCACCTGGACCCTATAACACCTTTTTAGGGTTCCCTATTATGATTTCCTTATATAATAAGTCCTTAAAAAAGTAGGTTATTGGTCGAAGTAGGGTTTAGAGTTCGGGGCTTGGGGGTTAGGGTCATGGGTTTCGCAATTGGGGTTGACGCCGCTGGGGTCTTTTCTGTCGGAGTGTTGTTCTTGAGAGTTGTTGGGAGTATGGTGCAGGGTTCCTGGTTCTGACTTCGAAGCAGGCGGACTTCGATTTTAAGTTTTGTTATCCCGAAAAAGAAGTGCGGTGGAGACGATCTGTAACAAGCATGCAACACCATACAGATTCATACAACCCTCCGAACCCCCCTAAATCCCTATAACGCTCCTTACAATACCCTGAACCCTAGCCCTAAGCCCTAAACCCTAGACCCTAAGTTCTTATATTACACTATGGGGAAGAACCTCTTTCCAGGGTTCATCTTTGTTGGGATACCGAAGACGAATAGTCTCCAATGTAGAAAGTCGCAGGAGGTTGTGGCAGGTACCGGAAGTAGGGTTCAGGGTTCAGGGTTCAGGGTTAGGGCTTTGGGTTTAGAGTTTAGGGCTTAGGGTTTGGGGTTCAGGGTTTAGGGTTGTGGTAGCAGGTAGTCGCATGCTGTAGCACTAGTCGTCGTCGTAGTCGCAGGGCCTTACTCATTGAGCCCTCGACGCCAACAAATACTATGTAAACCTACAGAATTGCAAACACACCGCAACGAATTTATCCTAAACCCTAAACCCTGAAAGGCATAACTTGAAAGCCGTTCAGGAGATGAAGGAGAAAGAGCTGGAGATGCAGCAGGTTCGGCGGAATTGAGTTACGGCTTCGGGGTTTAGGGTTTAGGGTTTAGGGTTTTACCCTGGCCCCACAATAACTACTATCCTGCACTCGAGTGCTTGATGTGTGGATCCTTTGGGCCCTTAGATCATTTTAACCCCCCCGCCATGGTAGCTTAAGTTCAGTTCCCTTACAACAAGGGCCATAATGTAGTGTAGGGATCTGCAGGAAACAGTTTGAGTTCCGTATTAGAGTAGCTTGACGTAGACCCTTATAGAGCCGTTCTAGAGCCCGCACAGGAGTCCTAAATTATAGTTTCTAAACCCTAAACCCTAAACCCCTAAGTTCTTGAACAAGAACCCAGTAACCCCCTTAGCCTTCCCCAGGCTGTTCTGACTATGCTTCAGCGTGCCAAAGATGACCCAAGGACGACGAGTTCCACCTTTTAAAGGGTTCCCGAAAAGAGCTAGCTAGTTTTATTGGGCCTTAATGCAGGGGTTTGGGGTTTCTCTGTTGAAGAGTCCTTCAGGGGTTCTGGTTAGTGGTTTACCTCCTTCGATCAGGGTAGCCTAGGCTCTTCTCGGATTTGCAAATGGACAGTTCTCTAAATTAGGGTCCCTGTTGCCAAGTTGTCGTTAAGAACGACGTCCTCGCTGCCTTCGCAGCCCGCTCAAAAGGAAACATCGCCGACACATTTGCGCCTGCTACCTGCGGGCCTTTGTGTGTAAATTGAAAGCACGTTGCTCATGCCGAGTATAAGTGCTACGAATGACATTGGAAATGGCGGATCTTGCCATTGCGGGGTCTTTCTATTTGCCGGACCCAATCATTTAGGGCTCATAGCAGGCGGCAGTGGGAGTTCCTAACTGCCTACAAAGGATTGCTCTACCACAGGTACTTAGAGCTCAAAGACAGCAAGCTCCCACAATAGGTATACTGTGCTAAGCGAGCTTCTAGAGAAAGCTGCTCTTGATGTTGATGCTACACCTTCAGCTTAAGCTCTGCCTCATCCCTCAAAAACCCGACCCTTTTTAAGGACTCATATGGGTAGTTCTCTAAATTAGGGTCCCTTTTCCGTCCCCAATACAGTACGACACCCTTATAAACAAAAGCAGAAAGAACTGTTGCGTGGGATGGAAACTGCTGGTTTGTACCTGTTCGAGATGTTCGTTTCTATAGCTTCAGGGCTAGTTTGGGAATTTAGAGAACTACCCATATCGGGAAATCATCATCCGGAACCGTAAAACTGTAGGTTTCTCAGGGCTCAGGTAAGCTTCAACAAGGCATTTTTGTCACCAGGGTTTGAAGCTCCTTCAAGCTGTGTCGGCCAATGGGTCGGAACTCATGACAGAAGTGGTCTAGGCTGTTTTCTAAGGGCCCAAGTGCCAAAACAATCATCGACGGGCTTACCTTACATAGGGGTCAGAGCCTACTGTTCTTCTTGGGTTTGGTAACTGCTGAACCCGAAGACACGGCCTTGCTTGACATACATATATATATATATACACACACACACACATATATATATATATATTTATTTATATTTATATTTATATATTTGTATACGCAGGATTCCCCAAGCAGCGGAGCAGGCAAAGCAGACGAAGGCACAGGGCATGGATTGCTAGGCTTCTTTGGAACCCTAAACCCTCAATCCTCAGCCGAAGCCCTTCGAGGAAACAGTTTGATTTGGGTTTGGGGTTTTGTTGACCTTCAGCGAAATTTTCGGATCGCGCAAGCACGAAACTCTAGCCGCTCGCCCTCCAACTCTGGTCCGAGCTTCGGGGTAGTACCCTTGTGCCTTGTCTTGTTCCCGGGGGCTTGCCGAATTGACGCTGAATATCCACGAAAAGCGTAATTACTCGTATCTTATGGTTATAAACGGATACTGGACAAGCTACCCATAGGCCCCATAGTAGTTCCTTTTTGGGATTACCTTGTAGGATTCTAAATATGAACCGCAAAAAGGAATTACTTTAGGGCCCATGGGTACTGTAGTGAGCGGGGGGGCTTA